TCTGCTTTTTGCTGGCTGAGAGAATGGCTGCTTCTTGAAAGCACTGAAGTGTTGGATAATGGCAGATGAAGTTGATGGACTATATGGAATTGGCGGAAATGACTGGCAAGATCCGAGACCAGGGAGAAGAGTCGGGGGAAGAAGACTGGAAAAAGTTTAAAGACTATTTACAGAAACATTGTAAAATTAATGAATGTTAGAAGAATGTTGGAATGAAGTTATATGGCTTTAGTAGAAATGTTATAAGGAATTAAGTATAAATAGATTAATAGAAAATTAAAGGAAAAAATAAGGCAAGAATGTGTTAAGATAATTATAGGATAGAAAACAGAGGAAGATGGAAAGGAATTGCTGAAACAATTAATAGAAGTGGAATACAAAAAGGGAGGTGTGAGGAGGTCGTTGGAAATGAGCGAATGAAAGATAAGATATTGAAAATGTTGGAGGTGTTTTTAAATTGTTTTTGTTTGTTTTTGTTTTGTTTTGTTAGTTTAATGTGTTATGTAGTGTTTTTGTATTGTATTTGTATTGTTCTTTTTCTTTTCTTTTTTTGTTTGTAGTGTTGTGTTGTAACTGTTCGAAAAGTAATAAATATCATTTAAAAAATATATATATAGAGGGGCTTTTGATTCAGTAGGTTCTTCTTTCTTATATGTCTCTGAACTTGCTCCCATCATCCCCAGCCAACATGGCCGATAGTCGGGAACAATAGGAGTTGGAAACACAACAACAACAGGAGAGCCACAAATATATTATTGCTGCTGCTGCTGCTTACCTATCCATGTTCTATGCCTGGTATACAAGCACCTCTGGACTGGAATTCTAGCTCAGTTGGTTAGAGAGTGGTGCTGATAATAACAAGGTCACAGGTTCAATCCCCATATGGGACAGCTGCATATTCTTGTATTGCAGGGTGTCGGACTAAATGATCCTCAGGATCCCTTCCAACTCTACAGTTCTATGATTTTATGATTCTATGAAACAGCTACTTCTCCAGAAGGTAGGCCCGGTGAGAGCGATGAACCCAGGTTAAAGTTGCCTGGGGAAAACCCACAAATCTTTGAGGAAAGTCTTGCTGTGTGGAACTGGGATGCTGGAACCGAGCAGAGGGTGGGGCGTGTTTGGTGCCGGGATACTTCAAAACCTCGGCCTAGACATTTTGCAGGCCCCTTTTGCTCTTCCCAGGACAGACCACAAGGCTAAGAACTTTCCCCACTGAGAACTGGGCAAGTGCTTGGTTGCCCATACTTCCTTCCAGGTGCCAGTTTAAGGGAACGCTTGGCCAGCTCCGCCACAGGAATGAGCTCTTGGAAAAACATTCGTTTGGGGTTTGTCTGTTTGGCTCACCCGCATTTCCAGGGATGAGTGAATTTTGGGCCACAGGTTTTGGCCTGGGAATGCTGTCCTCTTGAACGCTTACTGGATGTTCGTATTTTTTTCCTGTGGTGTGTGTGTGTGTATGGTTGTGCTCTCTCTCTGTGTGTATGTGTAAATGGCATATAACCTGTGGACCTTTGCTCAGAAATATTACAGGATGTCAATCCCCAGCTGCAAATAATAATAATAATAATTCATACCTTCAGAATGCAGAAAAAACAGCTGTCCAAAGTCCTCTGAGGATGCCCTTGGCCCAGACACGTGGCCGAAAGCAGGTGTGCAGTTAGTTGAAATTAAATACTGGACTTATGGGGGCACCTTCCCACCCCAGTCTTTCGAGGGAAGCATGTGTTTCGCTTGGCTCCTTTCAAAACGCAGTGAGACAACCATTGTGGATGCTTCTGCCCAAGCCTGTCGTGCCTCTGCTAGGTAGTTTCCCCCCTCAGAATGTCTTTGGATGCCTATTGCTGAGAATCACACGTGAGGAAAGTAGCTCAGGGCCTGCTTGCCAGCCGTCTGGTTGGCGTCTGTGAGAACAGGCGACTAGGCCAGATGGGTTGCTGGCATCATCCAGAGGGGGTCTTCTTAGGTTGCCTCTTGAAAATGTCCTCCGCCAGTGAGTCTACTGAGGAGAAAACATCTCTCTGAGCTCCTTGTCCCTTAAAATGGGTTGCACAGCACATAGTTAAGCTCTGGAACTCACTGCCACAAGAGGTAGCGACAGCCATCAACTAGGATAACTTTAAAGGAGGATTTGGCAAATTTATGGAGGATAAGCTTCTCAGTGGCTACTAGCCACAATGCTGTTATTTTACCTCAGGAGGTGCTGCAAACCACAGGAGGGGAGACTTGCTGTGGCACCCAGGTCTTATTTGTGGGCTTCCCATTAGGGCTTCTTGTTGGCCACTGTGGGAACAGGATGTTGGACCAGATAGGCCACAGTCTTGAGGGGCTCTTGTGTTGTTATAGGGACGAGTGGGGCAGGGGAAGCACTTGAGCAAGTCACCCTCAGGAAACCCCTTAAGCCACCAGGAAGTGGTCTGAGGCAGTAAATCTGTTGCTGGTGTGTACCACTTCCGACAGCAGGTGAGGGCTGCCATGATGACTCAATTCTTCCATACACTACACTACACTACACCACACTACACTACACTACACTACACTACACTACACTACACTACACTACACTACACTACACTGGAAGCATCCATTCTCCACACATAGAAAACTTAGAAAACTAGCCATTCAGGGAGAATGCTGTTCTAGAGCTACTCGCCTGGCATGCTCTTTTACTGCATGGAGGGGTTCTCTCTCTGTGTGCAGGAACATAAAATCACGGAAGCCCACTGTGCTTTGCAGTCTGAACTGGTACAGTCCTGACACAGGCTTACCCCCGTCAGCAAAGACTCCCTCCCTCCCTCACCCGCTCCCAAACTCCTTTCATGCTGCAGTTACCAAAGCCTGGAACGTTGCCCATAAAAGAACTGCTATCCACTTCTCCCGAAGGAACACACTGGAGGCTTTTGGCTTCCCGTATTTCCAGAGCTGCGAGGAGATTTGACCTGGAAATTCCTTTCTTCACATTACTGACTGGAACGCCAATGTTTCCCACTGCGTAATTTTAAGCCTCTTCGACCCCCAGTTAAGAATATCAACATTGCTTTGGTTGTACGGGGCCAATGGCCCACCTTGTCCAACATTCCTTCCCTCACTTGGTGCCTCCGAATTTGTTTTGGACTACAACTCCCATTCGCCCCAGCCAAAATGGCCAGTGGCCAGCAAGGATAGGAGTCAGAGTCCAACAACATCTGAACCGTTTTGGGGAGGGTTGTTCTGACACTATCAAGTGTGTGGATTGGTGTTCTCCAGCAACTTCAGCATATTGTGCAGTAGGTGTGGGGAATCTCAGGTTGTTACTGAACTAGAATTCCCATCATCCCTGGCCATTGGCCATGCTCGCTGGGGCTGATGGGAGTTGTAGTGCAGGAGGGCTGACTATTTGCCGCAGCTGGTGTGCCGCAGTGATGTGTCGGTTCTCTGGTCGGTTAGGAAGCCCTGTGGGCTGGATGATATGGGGATTGATCTTCATTGGGGTTGATGCTTGGAACAGCTTGATCATTCAGTATCCTCCAGCTGGATGAATACGTTTCTGCCACAGGTGTCCATTTTGATTTATTTTAAAGCTCATCCTCTGTTGTTGTTTTTAATGTTTTGTAACTGGTGTTTTGTTCTTAGCTGTTTTTAATTACATATCGAGCACATACATTTGGGACATGTATGGAAGGCAATTAATTAAATAATATTCACAAAATAATAAAATCACCGCCATCTTCATCCTGATATTTTTGGCTCTCAGAACCTTATCAGGAAGCTTTGCCTTCTCATTACACCTGAACCTGGGATCATTGAGGTTTGGTTCTTTTCCCTGTCATGAGCTCCATTCAGGAATTGGCAGGATTTGGCAGCCCTAGATGCTGGCGGAGGAGGATGTAGCTTAGAATCTTGACTTCTGGGCCTTGCGTTTGCTGCTGAGCCTGAATTGCTTTTTTATTAATAATTGTCATAAAAATGGTTCTAAAATGTTTAAATGGTCTGTTGACTGCAAATAGAGAGATGGTGGTGACGATGCTATTAGCCGAATATAGATCTCAGCCTTGCTTACTAGTTAAGGGTTGTTGCCTTGTGTTTTGGGAGAGGAGTTTTCACGCTCCCCAACAAGCCACGACAACTAGCTGTCCATAAGCCATTAGGAAGAACTTCCTGATGGTGCGAACTGTTCATGTCATGTCATGGTTGTGTTAGAGAGGTAAGCAGAGGCTGGATGTCCACCAGTATCCATGGCTTTCCTGAACTGGTAGAGGGAGTTGATTTTTGATGTCCTTTCCAACGCTATGATTCTGTAATGTATTCAGAAGTTGGAGAAACAGGTCATCATTTGGCCCTGTCTCCATGTGCCCCTGCTTTCAGCCTTCCTGGCTTTGGGCCTGATAGTCATATACTTGTCAACTGTTCTGATTTGACCGGGACATCCTGGAATTACAGAAGCCATCCCGGCTTCTGATTGAATCTTGAGATGTCTCTTTTTGGCTTCTGTGCCTCTCTTTTCCCACCCACCTGCCTGCCTCCCCCTGATGCTTGCCCACCCAAAGTGGAAACACAGCAAGTGCCACTTCCAGCTCTTCCTCCACCCCTATAGAGATACGGAAGAATGTAGACTGAAGCGCTACTAGCACTTCTGACCTCCAAAAAAAAAAAAATATTGGGTATCCACTCTCTCAGTGCAAAAGTGTGCCTTGGAGAATGGGGGGTGGTTCATCATCGAGTGGCTAAGAGCTGGAGTGGCGCCATTTTGCACCATAGATATTTGGAGTCTTCAAATTTTTTACTGGAAGTTTAGGTTGCATTGTAACTCTACACCTTTCCCTATATTTATGTCTGTCCCCCTTCACGCCTCTCAGCCACCAATCAGCGCGCTGCTGTCTGTCCAGCGCGCTGCTGAAACTTCGGGGGGTGCAGCCCGAAAGATGCACGTCCTGATTTCCCTCTGCGGCATGTTGGAGGGTATGCAATGAATCTCACGCAGTCTCAAGCAAGAGGTTATGTCTCTGTCTCTCTTCTTGCAGGGCGACCATAGATGAGGTGGAAACGGATGTTGTGGAAATAGAAGCCAAGCTTGACAAGGTAAGTTGGTGGAGCTCACACAAACACGCACAGAGGCAGGCAAATCCAGTAGCAAGGTGGTTAACAAATATGTGACCCTCGAGATGCTTCTCCCATCCTGCCTGACCACTGGTCCATGCTGGGAGTTGGGAGTCCATGAAGGGCCTGTGAAGAGGGATTGACTGTTAAACCACTGGGAATTGTAGCTCTGGGAGGGGAATAAGGATCTCCTGCTCCTGCCAACCTAGCAGTTCGAAAGCACGTCAAAGTGCAAGTAGATAAATAGGTACCGCTCCGGCGGGAAGGTAAATGACGTTTCTGTGCGCTGCTCTGGTTTGCCAGAAGTGGCTTAGTCATGCTGGCCACATGACCCGGAAGCTGTATGCCGGCTCCTTCGGCCAGTAAAGCGAGATGAGTGCCGCAACCCCAGAGTCGGTCACGACTGGACCTAATTGTCAGGGGTCCCTTTACCTTTACCTTAACAAATCTCAGCACCCTTAACAAACTGCAGATCCTCCCAGGATTCTTTGTGGGGAAGCCGTGACTGTTTAAAGTGGCATCATAGTGCTTTATGTGACTGTGGCCTGTATCTCAGTTGTTTTAAAGCTGTTACTTTTTTTTTTTTTTTTGCCTTACTGCTGCATCCCTGGATGGCCTCATTTTTGCTTCTTTAGGCTGTTGTGCTACATTTCCCTACCCTTTGTTACGTTTCTAACAATATTTCAGGGGTTCCCCAGCTGCATGCGCCCCCTTCCCAAAGGCACTGGTTTGCATCTAACGCTAGCCCTGGACCCACTAATATTAATGAGCTTGACTCACTTGGGTCCTTTAATTTCAGTGGGCCTCCTCTGAGTAGGGCTCGGCTGGGTAGAATTCCTCCCAAAGCATCTGCTCACAGCAAACGGCATGCAGCTCGGTCTGCTGTGTGTGGGGACCGAGCAGCGTTGCAGAAACTGCCACGTTGCAGAATACGCCTCCCTTTCGCTTCCAGAGGTTTCCTCCAAGCCACGCTGGTGTGTCCATCTGGGAGCCAGATGTGGCCGGCAGCTGCATCTTTTTGGGTTTTTCTTTTTTCATTCCCTGGAATCGGATGCAGCAGCTCGGAGACGTTTGCCAGCACCCATTTCTCGGCTCTGCCAGATGACAGAAACAGAGGGAACATGAGTGGAGCAGCCAAAGGTTATTCTGTGTGTGCTGGCTCTGACTTGCACCTACTTCTCGGCCTTGGGCAACTCTCCTTGCCCTCTGTTTACTTATTTGGAACATTTGCACTCCGTCATTCTGCCAAAAAGGCTCCCAGAGCAACTTGTGTGTAGCCAGTTTAAAACAAGACGGTCTCTGCTCACAGGTAGGCAATCTAAAAATGCACGACACACATGGGGGAAAAGAGACAGGGAAGGAAGAGGGTGGAAAAGCAAACTCAGGCGCCAGTTATTGTTGTGCCCATTTCTGACCGATGCCCCTTGTCCCACACTTCTTTCCTTCTCAGCTGGTAAAGCTATGCAGTAATATGATAGATGCCGGGAAGGCCTACCTCATCACCAACAAGCATTTTGTCGGAGGGGTCCGGGACCTTTCACAGCAATGCAAGAAGGACGAAATGATCTCGGTAAGCAGACGGCATGCAGCACTGCCCCACCAAACCCCAGATCTATGAGGAGCTAAAGGGTGAGGTCCACAGGGTGCCTGCCCTCTCAGCACTGAGCCATTAGAGCCGGCCCTACCCTTAGGGAGAGGGAGGAGGCAGCCACCTCGGGAGGCTGATTTTAGGCATCGTGAAAGAGCGTGATTTATTATTGCTCTATTCTTACTGACAGGGAGAGGAAATGGCTTAGACTGGACACCTTAAACAGTGTGTGTGTGTGTGTGTGTGTTTTTTTTTAAAAAAATTTGCTGCACTGCCTCAGGCAGCAAAATACCATGGGTGGGCCTGGGCGGGCAAACTCTACTAATCTACTAATGCAGTAGTTACCAAGGAGGGCAGGATTGCCCCTGGGAGGCCAATGAGATTACCTAGCGTTGTGCTCAGAGGCAAGGGGGTGACAGGAAGGGGTAAAAAAAGCAAGCAAACAAACAAGCAAGCAAACAAACAAACAAACAAAACCCCCAAATCTATCAGACTTGGAAAAGCTGGTATCACTGGATCAAGTTCAACCATTTTGTTGAATTCATTGAACTAAATAGTTTTCACTGGATTTTGAATAAATGTGAAATTAATTGTTATTGGTTTGGATTTTATGGTGTTACCATCTTCCTTAGTGGGTTGTGCAAACTGCTGTTCTTGATAATACTTTTTATAGGGCATGGTAGGGTAGGGTAAGGGATGCGGGTGGCGCTGTGGGTTAAACCACAGAGCCTAGGGCTTGCCGATCAGAAGGTCGGCGGTTCGAATCCCCGTGACGGGGTGAGCTCCTGTTGCTCAGTCCGAGCTCCTGCCAACCTAGCAGTTCGAAAGCACGTCAAAGTGCAAGTAGATAAATAGGTACTGCTCCGGCGGGAAGGTAAACGGCGTTTCGCCAGAAGCGGCTTAGTCATGCTGGCCACATGACCCGGAAGCTGTACGCCGGCTCCCTCGGTCAATAAAGCGAGATGAGCGCGCAACCCCAGAGTCGGTCATGACTGGACCTAATGGTCAGGGGTCCCTTTACCTTTACCTTTAGGGTAGGGTAGGGGGCACTGGGGATGAGGTTATGGAACCAAGCGGGCAATGGTTTAGGAACCACTGTGCTAATGTGACGAATAGGATACAGAGCACCTGGTGGTAGACTGAACGTGATTCAGTCTCTGGTATTTCCAGGTAGGACAGGGAGAAATCTCTGTCTGAAACACCAGAGAGTCATTGCCTGCCAGTGTTCATCAACTTTGGTTCCTCATACATTGTTAGGCTACAACCTCTACCATCCACAGCAAGCCACAGTCCACCCACATTTAGTACTGCTTTGAATGTTGCCTGCCTGCAACCCTGGAGAGCCACTGCTGATCAGTGTGGTCATTATTGAGTTAGAAGTGCCCATGTTCTGATTCTGGGTAAGGCAGCTTCCTATCTATTCGTAAATCTAATGCAGGGAAGCAGATTCAGCTGTTGAATTAGTGTTCCTGGAGGAGGGGTTGAGAATTAGATACATGTGACATTTGCACAACAATGCGGCAGTGACAACCATTTCTGAGCAAGGTCAGTCTTGAGTATTTGAGAGCTGAGAATTTCAGCGTTTCCAGAGGAACACTGTGGGTTTGTGTTTCTTTCGTTTTTCCTTTTTGCAAATCAAAGCACCAAATCAGACACGTGCAAAATTATCCTTCCTGCAATTGCAGGCACAAACCCACCATTTTCTGTATTTTTGCGAAAAGGGTAAATGCATAAAGCTGTTTGGATCTGGTAACTCAAGCTTAAGCAACACACACACTCTCTCGCACACACACCAAGCTAAAAATATCTGAGGAGTTGGATGCCTCAAGGAATCGCATCTCTTTCTGAAAAGCCAGAAAGCAGAGATGATGCATCTGAAGTAGGTCAGCGAACATCCGCTATTTGGGAAGAGGGAGGATAAGTCGTTGCAGAGGGAACTGAACAGGAGTCGAGGCAGTACCTTTGGGATGGGGATCAGAAGGACTGGGAGAAGCCTCTTGAGTTCATAACATGAATTGGGGGGTGGGTAGAATTTCAATTCCTATTGCATTTAAAGGCGGACCTACCTGATTTGCGCAGGCCAAAACAATATGAGACCTGAAAGACAGCCATCCTTCAAAATCCACACTTTTCCAATTTTTGCAATTCAGTGCTCTGGCCAAGTCATGCATACAAAAAATGCATGTAACTGGGGTAAAGTGTGCATAGAAATGCATATGAGCAAAAATCACATTACATATACATTGTATTAGGGAAAATGTAAATATTAGGAGAAACATGGTTTGCAAATGTGTGTAGATTAGGCAAAATAGCCCCAGGCAAGCATTGTGTACAAAAACACATATAATTGGAGTAAATTGTACATACATATATATATGTGATTGGGACGCGGGTGGCGCTGTGGGTAAAAGCCTCAGCGCCTAGGGCTTGCCGATCGAAAGGTCGGCGGTTCGAATCCCCGCGGCGGGGTGCGCTCCCGTCGTTCGGTCCCAGCGCCTGCCAACCTAGCAGTTCGAAAGCACCCCCGGGTGCAAGTAGATAAATAGGGACCGCTTACAAGCGGGAAGGTAAACGGTGTTTCCGTGTGCGGCTCTGGCTCGCCAGAGCAGCGATGTCACGCTGGCCACGTGACCCGGAAGTGTCCTCGGACAGCGCTGGCCCCAGGCCTCTTAAGTGAGATGGGCGCACAACCCTAGAGTCTGTCAAGACTGGCCCGTACGGGCAGGGGTACCTTTACCTTTTATATATATATGTGTGTGTGTGAGAGAGAGAGTGAGAAAGAGAGAGAGAGGGATGTAAACATTGAACGTTATTGGGCAAAATGGTTTTGCAAAATTGTGTTTTATAGTCAAAATTGCACACAAATGTGTGTATATTAGGAGAAATATGCACTGCAGTGCTGATGTGTATATCCCACACTGATGTGGCAGTGTTGGGAACTGAACTTCACTGGAAGAATGAGAAAGTGAAATCCACAGACTGGCGCATCACTGGTTCTGAGCTGCACCTCTGAGAACATCAGGATGGATTTGCCTGTTCATTTTGCTCAGGGAAGCACCATGTTCTTTGAAAAGCGGGGTACCCTTTGCCCTGTGCACAGAGCACTTGTAGAAATCTCACCACAGCAAATTGGGGTTCACCATCACATCCAGCCAGTCTCCCAAAGAGCTCAAGACAATGTAGATATGAGGGTCTTCGTCTTGTAATCTAGGAGTGAGGAAGTGGATCTGGCCTGCAGACCCAACCCTTATCTCCTCTATCTACCCCCACTCCCCACAATTGCCCAAGTTTGATAGGTGGGTGAGGCTGACCGCAAGGTGACCCAGGAAGTGAAGGATGAGCACATGGGCAAAGGGATGTGGCGTTTGCCCTCCTAGGTGTGTGACATCATACTGGGTTCATAAGGAAAGGGTTAACTAATTGTAAAATGACTAACCAATGGGAACCCAAGGGGCAGAGTTTACTGTGTACAGTGGTACCTCGAGTTAAGTACTTAATTCGTTCTGGAGGTCCGTTCTTAACCTGAAACCGTTCTTAACCGTTCTTAACTTTAGCTAATAGGGCCTCCTGCTGCCGCCGCGCCGCCGGAGCACAATTTCTGTTCTCAACCTGAAGCAAAGTTCTTAACCTGAAGCACTATTTCTGGGTTAGCGAAGTCTGTAACCTGAAGCGTATGTAACCTGAAGCGTATGTAACCCGAGGTACCACTGTATAAGGTTCTAAGCACAGAGGGGTTTTTTTTGGAGGAGTTAGAGTTAGGGTGGTTAAGAAGACAGTCTGGAGTTAGAAGATAAGTCTGTGAGTAGGGCTTGTCTGGTGTGAGAGAGTGAGAGAATTTGTTAAGAGGAGTCAGTCAAACGGTTGAGATAATCAGTCAGAAGGTATTAGGAAGGTATAGGTCAGTAAAGAAACTAAAGATACTGACAGGAATATTATCTGAGAAACCATAAACTTGTTAATGTTTGTAAAATAAACTTGGGTTTTTTTCTTGGTTCACTTTTAACAACTGTCTGGACTCAGTGTTTTACGCTCCCGCTGCTCGGTCCCAGCGCCTGCCAACCTAGCAGTTCGAAAGCACCCCCGGGTGCAAGTAGATAAATAGGGACCGCTTACCAGCGGGAAGGTAAACGGCGTTCCGTGTGCTGCGCTGGCTCGCCAGATGCAGCTTGTCACGCTGGCCACGTGACCCGGAAGTGTCTGCGGACAGCGCTGGCTCCCGGCCTTTAGAGTGAGATGAGCGCACAACCCTAGAGTCTGTCAAGACTGGCCCGTACGGGCAGGGGTACCTTTACCTTTTAATGGGTTGGTGGCAGCAGGGAAGCGAGCACAGTGGTGGCACAGGGATCAATAGACCGTTAAACGTCCGGGGACCCTGTGTGATCGCCACAGTGGTGCTTGTTGAGACTGGAGCTAAATTAAGGTGGGGGGGTTACATCTATGTCCACCCCCCACTCTCCCTTTCAGGCCTCTGTTCTTCTCTCACTGCCATGCCTCTCTTCCTTCTGCAGGAATGCCTGAACAAGTTTGGAGACAGCCTGCAGGAAATGGTCAACTACCACATGGTAAGTCACATCCTGCCACGAGTTCCTTGGTGCGGTGCGGCTGTGGCTGCATTAAGTGATGTTTCGTAAACATTATAAAAGCCTTGCACACGCAGTGCCGTTAACAGACCTGAAGGTCGCAACTGAGTTGCCTTGCTGATTGAGATCAAGGCTGACCTCTCCCACTGTCCTGCCTCCGAGAGTGGACAGCACAGACTCTCCAATGTCCAGGAAGTTCCAAGGAGCACTGTCTCTTAAGGAAATAAGATGAACTCTGCTGGATCGGGTCAAAGGCCCTTTTAGCACCATATCATATTCCAACAGCTGCCAACGAGATCCCTCTGGGAAGCCCCCAAGCAGGACTTGGGGTGCATCATCAACTAGCAGGGCACTTGGGTGGGGCAGCTCTGGCGTTCTTGCCTGGCTCATGGTCTCCTCTGTTCCTGTGACTATGGAGGAGGTGGGGTGGTGGCACTTGAGAGCTGGACAGGAACCCAGACTGCTAGTGTGGGGACCTTTGGTCTTGGGGCAGGAGTGTCCAGCTCAGGATTGTAGGCAGTGCAGATATGGGCTGGAGGAGTTGCTTCTCAAGGGAAGGCCCATAGCTCAGTGACAGAGCATCTGCTTTGCATGCCAAAGGTCCCAGGTTCAATCCCCAGCATCTCCAGGTAGGGTTGGGAGAGACTCTCTGTCCGAATCCCTGGAGAACAGCTGCCAGCCAGTGTAGACAATGCTGGGGTAGGTGGACCAACGGTCTGACTTGGTATAAGGTAGCTTTCTATGTCCCTGTCTTAAGGGGAGTTGGTGTCGCTCAGTGGTAGAGCATCCATTTTGCATGGAGGAGGTCCAGGTAGGGCTGGACAGCTGCTGCCAGCCAGTGTGGGCAATACTGAGCACATTGGAACAGCTCAGTGTGAGGCAGCTTCCCGTGGTCCTAAAATTTAAGGAAAAGGGTCACAGCTCAGGGCTGGAGCACCTGTTTTGTTCCATCCCAAGCAAAACCACTTGAGGAGGGGTGGTAAGCTGAAGGGCATGGCCTAGGAAGGAGAGGTGTGGCCTTGGGAGGATCCCCAGGGCCAGCTGGAGAGGCCTGGAGGGCTGCATTTGAACCCCCCACCAGCTTTGAGATCCCCCCACCCCTGCCTCAAATACTGCTCTCATTCGATGCTCATTAATAATAGCATTTATATAGTCCTTCCTGACTGCCGTTGCTGTGATCTGAGTTCACCCGTCCCTCTAGCCAGGGCGTTCCACATAAGCTGCTGAGTTAGCTCTTCAGCAAGCCAGGAACTGTGTCTGCAGAGTAACTCCAGACAGAGGGAGTAGACGGCACAGGACGGCTGCCACTCTTTTGGAGTGGGGCGAGGGGGCTTTGAAATAAGGAAAGGTTTTCTCCCCCGTCCAGCCACGGCAGGTCTGGGATGGTGCAGGCTGCGTTTCCGCTCCATGTTTCAAAATTTTGGGGGGAAAAATCAGTCGCCTGTGAGAAAGTCTGGCAGGGGCGTCAATCCTCAGGGCTGTAAAATCTGCATCCAGAAGGGGAAGGCATAAAACGGTTTCCTTCTCAATGACACTCCTGGGGTGAAGGACGAGGGCCATGCAATCTCGACCTCAGTTTTTCCATGGGTCTATTGACGTTCATTTTAGTACAGTGGTACCTCTGGTTAAGAACTTAATTCGTTCCGGAGGTCCGTTCTTAACCTGAAACTGTTCTTAACCTGAGGTACCACTTTAGCTAACTGGGACTCCCACTGCCGCCACGCTGCCGGAGCACGATTTCTGTTCTCATCCTGAAGCAAAGTTCTTAACCCGAGGTACTATTTCTGGGTTAGCGGAGTCTGTAACCTGAAGCGTATGTAACCTGAAGTGTATGTAACCCGAGGTACCACTGTAGTGCTATGGACTTGGCCTCAGTAAATATTAATTAGTTTTTATTCTTAATTATTTAATATGCCACTTGATGCCCAAAACAGGATTCTATCCAGTTGCACAGGCAATTAAAATATAAGCATTAGTTATTAGAATATGCAATAGGCAAGAACAGTAAAACAACACAGCAATTAAAACAGGAAGCGCAGGTCTAGATTGCGCTGATAAGATTTCATTCATTTGCTTGCTGCTTTTAGATCCTCCCTTTCCTGCAAGGAGTTCAAGGCAACATATGCATGGTCCTCAGTTGCTCATTTTATCCTCACAACAGCCCTGTGAGGTAGGTTATGCTGACTGGCCCAAGGTCAGTGGCTGAGTCAGGGTTTGAACCAGTGTCTCCCGTGTTGTAGTCAAATGCTCTAACCACTTCACCACACTGACCATTAGGTGCAAAGATGGCACCGAGTAAAGCCAGGCATTGAGAAGGGGTCCATCCATTGTTAAAAACATATCTAAGGAAAGGTCCTTGTAGGTCGGGGGCGGGGAGAACCTCAGGCCTGGGGGCATAATACGGCCCTCCATGTGTCTCTACCTGGCCCTCACAATTATCCCCAGGCCACACCCCCTCTCCTCAGGCCACACCCCTCACCTGTCCTGTTTTAGACTACAATTTTTTTGCATGGTTGGAATGTGTCTGATGCCTTTAACTTGTCTAGGAGGGGGGTGGTGAGATGTACATTGGTTGCTCCACCCACTTTAGCCCCCGCCCACCACTGGTATGCGGCCCTTGGAAGGCTGCCCAGGAGGGAGTGCGGCCCCTGGGCTGGAAAAGGTTCCCCGCCCCTGTTGCAGATCTTCTCAGCACCCTTTATATCCTTTCAAATGCACCACATCTGGGCGCAGTTAGCTGTGATTCTAAAACTAGATGCCCTCCCTTAATGGAGAGAGACAAGAGACGGTGTAGGGGAAAAAATCTAGGTCATACACACGCGCGCACACACACACACACACACACACAGAGCCCAAACACCCTTCAGTTCGTTCAGCTTTCAAGTTTGTGCATCTCCTGCTGAGCAGCAAGCTTAAAATACTCGCAGGGCGTTGGATTGGCATTTGCGGGGGATAATTTCTATTATTTTTTGAAAAGTTGTTGGTAGCACCGTGCCGAAATCTGTCCTCCCCCAGATTTTCAGCAGATAATTTCCAAATGCAGTTTATTTTCTCGTTACTGATGGTTGGGAGGGAAACACGGGGGGGAGGTGTATTTTTTAGTTCGGCACCAGTTGTTAGCGTACGACAGGGATGGGGAACAACAACAGGCCTGGGGGAATCAAATGAGGCATTCTGGACCTCTCTGCCTGAGCCTCAGGACTCTTCTCGGGCCACGCCCCCTCTCCTCAGGCCACGCCCCTCCCCAGCCCTGCTCTGAACTCTCCTTTGGGTTTTTTTGTGGCTAGCTGGAAAGCATCCTTTCGTTCTGATCATGCCTCTTCCTGCTTGCCTGGATGGAGGACAGAGAGGGCTGTGTTTAGAAATTAGCCTGCTGGACAAAGGTGAGATCTGCATCTGTGGCCGCACCCATCTCTGCCTCTGGTCACCAGGCCAAAGGCTCCCAGTTGCTGGAGCCTGAAAAGCTTTTTGCCGCAAGGCTGGCAGGTTGGGTGCCAGGCGAGCCTCTCCTAGGCTCTCCAGAGGCTCTCTTGAAAAAGGTTAGATGGACCAGTGTGCAACATTTTATGTACCCTCCCCTGAGTGCTCCCAAACCTGCAACGCAGGTTTCAGCCTTTGCTGAACGTTCTCAAACATTTTTCTCAGGACCACACCTTCAGTATAGTAATTTGTGCACACCAAACCGAATTCTTTATTGCTAAGAAATACATTGGAAAGCAAAAAGAAAACTTGCTATATAACATAGAGCACAACTACTTTATAATGCAATACAGCTACATAAGAACATGAACCAAAATATAATTATAAACAAACCTCTTGCATATTCTGCAAATGAAAACTTTTTTATACTATACTTTACTATACTGTAGTATACTATTCCTGCCAACTTAGCAGTTTGAAAGCACGCCAGTGCAAGTAGATAAATAGGTACCGCTGCGGCGGGAAGGTAAACGGCGTTTCCGTGCGCTGCTCTGGTTCGCCAGAAGTCATGCTGGCCACATGACCCAGAAGCTGTACACCAGCTCCCTCGGCCAATAAAGCGAGATGAGCACCACAACCCCAGAGTCGGTCACGACTGGACCTAATGGTCAGGGGTCCCTTTACCTTTTATACTATACTATACTATACTATACTATACTATACTATACTATACTATACTATACTATACTATACTATACAGGATGCGGGTGGCGCTGTGGTCTAAACCACAGAGCCTAGGGCTTGCCAATCAGAAGGTTGATGGTTCAAATCCCCGCAACGGGGTGAGCTCTTGTTGCTGGGTCCCTGCTCCTGCACACCTAGCTGTTCGAAAGCACGTCAAAGTGCAAATAGATAAATAGGTACCACTCCGGCGGGAAGGTAAATGGCGTTTCCATGCGCTGCTCTGGTTCGCCAGAAGCGGCTTAGTCATGCTGGCCACATGACTTGGAAGCTGTACGCCGGCTCCCTTGGCCAATAAAGCGTGATGAGCGCCACAACCCCAGAGTCGGCCATGACTGGACCTAATGGTCAGGGGTCCCTTTATCTTTACCTATAGTATACTGAAATGTTTAAATGCTTCTTTGATTGCCCTTGAATCTTCCTGCCACACTTGCCGTCCTCTCCAACCACATCAATGCGGCGCGCCACACCCTTTGAGAACCACTGGTTTAAAAAGCATTATTCAGAAGAGCGGTTTTCTGCAACCCACTGAGGAAGATAACAACACAATAAAATTCAAAACTGTAACAATTCATTGCACATTTGTTCAGAATCCAAGTGAAACAATTTAGTATAATTATTTTGACAAAGCTGATGAACTTGGTCCGGTGATACCAGCTTTTTGAAGCCTCTTAGGGAACCCCCTGCCACCCCCTTGCCTCTTAGCAGCTCCCCCCAAAGGTAATTCTACTGCCCCCTGTGGTGGTGGGGAGTACTGCTCACTTTGGGAACTGCAGCTCTTTTGCACAAAAGCACCTGCTTCTGCCTTCCACACCAAATGA